CCGAGCCCGCCCCGCCCCCCGGGGCCCCCGCGCGTGACGCGCCACGGGGACACCCAGCGGTAGGCGCCCAGCGCGGAGTGGGCATGCGCGCCCCCGCCCAGCGCGCGGCACGTGGCGCTGCCTTGGCCGGAGCCTGGCGTTGGACTCAAGAGGCGGGAGGCGCGAAGGGTCCCGGGATGCTGTAGCGCGAGCCCTGGGGAAACACGAGCTCCTGCTCGGACTGCGTGTCTGGGCGGTGCCCCTGCACCCCACTGCCGGCCCTCTCTGCACTGGGGTTCGTACAAGCGCGCCCGCCTTCAGGTTCAGTCTGCAAGGCTGCCACACAGCGCTCCGCGCCCCAGGAACAGCACGATTGCAGGGGAAAGGGTGGTTGGACAAGTGGGACATCTGGACCCTTAAAAAAATCAGAGGGGCGTTCACACTTGGGGGGTGGAGAGAGATTAGCAGGAAGCGGGAGACGATAGCCTCCTGCTGTTAAGCTCGCTGGGCGCCCGCTTGCAAGTGTTCCCTGGAACCACCACACTCGACTCTGAGCTCCTCTGAGGCCGGAGCCGGCCCCAGGCCCCTGCTGCTGCTCCCCTCCACGGCGTTCGCACTGCTCAGGACTACGTGGATAATGCAAGGTTGCCGCTGATGTTCATTTGCTTGATAAACGAATGAGGCGCAGGCCTCTCCCGGCATGGAACGGGTGCCCATTGCAAACGTTTCGACACGCTCCAGTGTCAGCATTGGCGTTTGAGCTGGGCGGGCACCTCGCACCTGGAGAGGGCAAATGCATCCTTATCTGGCTTGTCACAGCCAGGGGAATGAGCTGCAGCCCCAGCACTGACTATTCGCTGCCAGGCCGCGGAGGAGGAGGAGGGCATTCGTGGCTCGGTGCACTCTGAGAGTGGCCGAGTCGGAGGAGTTCACCCTCTGCTCCATCGTGACAAGAGGTGAAAGTGCCTTGGAGAAATGATGCTGACAAAAGAGTTGCCCAGCTCCACTGGTCGCGCCTGTAGGCTGCTCCGGTGGGCATCTCTCTCTGAGTTTGCTCGTCTGCTCCGGCTCCATGCCGAACTCTTATTCTATCAGTCCATGGCAATAATCACGATTCCACAATGCTACCTACGAGCGCACGGGATGACACCTCCCGAGAGACCACATTTGCCACCAGACATAGCTGAGTGCTCTCTCGCGGCTCTCCAAGGGCTTACAAATATCAGCATTAGAGACAAAACCTGACCGACCCTGTGAGATGCTTTAGCTCAGGCAAAGCCTGCACATACTCAGTGATGCTCTGGGGTCTTGTTCATCTCCCAAACGAGTCCGTGGTGTCAGACCAGGACGCACCACTCTGTTAAAATGATCGTTGTTGTTCCTCAACAGGAGCAGGAGGGAGATGGGAAGCTAACGGGCTTGGTTTTTTCCTGCCCTTTCTATTGAACAACATTAACTTAAAAATTGTATTTCGGCAACAGTCTCAATCTTTGCCTTTGTTGTCTCCAGAAAAGCAGCCAGATGCCATAATGCAACAAGCAGACGAAAAGAAAAGGGACAAAGCAGGATGATTATTGTAATTGCGTCTGCTCTGTGACAGCTGGAGCAGAGTTATGAGGGCGCAGCTATTCCCCCCTTGGACACCAAGCTCCCTTTGCTCTTTTAGTGGCAGCCTATCAAAGACCCTTTCAGAATCAGCCAGAAACTCGGGGAATGTTCTTATCTATTTTTGTCTTTTCAGCCTCAGTGTCATTAACTGGTTGCTCAATCAATCCCACTCTAGCCAGACATATTTTCCTGAGGTCTTCAGGCCCACATTTCCACCTGGCTGCTTTTAACGGCGGCATCAGTGCTTGTGGGTGCAGCTAGTTGTGTGTGCATGCAAAATGCAGGATTCTCCATGTGCAAACAGGGGATCCTGTGTGCGTGCAAGGGGCGGGGGAAGACACCTGGCAGTTTAGCTCATAATTATTTCCCATGCAGTCTTGGGAAACAAATGGCCCGTGTAGCAGGAGGGAGAGCTCTACTGCTGCAATCTCGGTGAGCTCGAATTTGAGTGGGAGGGGAGATGGAGGGCAGCGGGGGTCCCATGGGACCGTGCCCGTTGTGGGGAGAGGGGTGACTCTGGTCTCACAATGCAGAGGGAAGGACTAGAAAGCTCCCAACGAGCGCCCGTCACTACGGGGTCTGCTGTTCTCTACCATCTCCGGGGAGGTTGCTCAGCAGTGCATGGAGCTGCCCCTCCCTTTGTGCTCAGGTCACTGGCTTTCCACTCGACTTCACACCGAACAAATCTCTTTAACTTGCATCATAGCTTCGTGACCCCTGCAGCAACCACCGCTGAATCTCACCCACCTCTGAGTGGCGGCTTCGTTGCCTTCTGGTGCCAAATTGCCTGTCTCTTGAAGCCCAGATGAGAGCAGTACCTTGAAGTCTGGAGCCGGGGATGAGCTCTCTGCTTGCTGCCTAGCTATGGAGCAGTCCTCAGCTCTCCCTCTTTATGGTAGGGTGAGCCCTGCCCATGAGGGTGGGGGGCCCCTCCCCCAGCCGACACAGGCTTGGGATGCCTAGTTGTAGCTGGCGGCGGGTTCATCAGATGGAGGGCGCTGCACAAATGCGAAGCGTCCTTGCCCATGTCCAGCATCTGCCTGCAGGTGCTTTTGTGCTGCATATCCCTAGCACGGTGTAGCAACAGGTGTCTGGACATCTCCCCCGTGGGGACAGTCACAAGGGGCTGCTAGGGCAGTTGAACTAGTACAGTCTCCCCCAATAACCTGGTGCTGTGCCATCAGGTGGCAGGGAAACAAGGGTGTCCTGGGGAGGGCACTCATGGACCCAGAGGGACAGACTTCCATCTTCAGCTCCCTCTGTGCAAAAATGAAGTTTATTTCCTACCAATGGGGACTTTTTACCATCTTGTACCATCTACACTTTTCCCAGAGCCTGACGAAGGGACTTTGATCCCAAAATCTTGCAGAAAAGGACAATTTTCTTGCCATTTTCCAGTTGGTCTAATAAAAGGTATCATTTTGGAACCAAGAGTTCCAGTTTTTTGTATGTCTGGGGAGGTAAGGATTACTTAGGGCGATAGCTCTTATCGGACCAGCTACAATGTTGGGATAAAGCTGGACAAGCTTTTGAATGCAAGGCTTTCTTTGTCAGGTCTCTGATCACTGGGTTAGTCTGGAACCGGGCAGAAGGCAGGGTAGAGGTGCACCTCATAGACTAACTACATCAGAGACACATAAGCTTCCACGAGCATCCTTGGCTGCCCTAGGGTGCAGAGAAGGGGCTCCTCTGGGTATTTTTTGGCCATAACTTTGCTTCGGCACCGCCTCTGCCTCTCCCATCTCCCAGCCTCACTTCTTGCTCTTTCCTCCTCCACTTCTTTCTCTGGCTCTGCCTTTACGCCTGAGCTCTCTGAAGGTGTGTTGCTGTGTCTCCGTGCAGCGCCTTCCTCTGGCCAACTCGCTCCCCTTTCAGACCCTGCTTGGGTTCGGTTTGCTCTCCCCCACCCACAGCACCAGCCAGTTCTTGGGGACAGCCTGGGGCTGAGATACTGAGCCGCAGCACAGCCCTGCATGGCCACGAGTCCAGTAACAGGACCCACATCCTTCCCAGTCCATGGGGGATTCCCAGCCACTTGATCTATGCAGCCAGGGGCCTCTCCAGCCACCTCCCTCCCCTCCCCGAGCCACGTGGAGGTAGACTGTGCATGCACAGCACTGGCCAAGGCTCCTCCCTTTGCATGGGAGAGCGTGTGTGAATTTTGCCATCAGAAAAGCAGGACGGCATCAGTTTAGGGTCCCCACTGACAGCCAGGGAAGGAGGATAGGGGGGGAAAGGCTGGGAGGTCTGGAAGGGGTCAAGGAGCCCGGAGAACCTGGCAGAGCTGCATTATTGTATGATTATTGTACAGCCCTCAGCTACTGATCGCTGCGGCTGCCTGTGCTACGGGGAGCGAGCAGGAAATGAAAAAATGGTCCGAGATAAGGGATCCGTGTAAGCAACTGTGGTGAGGCTCCGGGCACTGCCTGGGCTGTCCAGGGGGAAGATGCTCTTGACAGGCATCTGCCCCAGGTGACATGGCTTGTCTGCCAGGGCCTGGAGTTCAAGCGGACCCCAAACGGTTACCAGCACCCCCAAGGGGTGTGCATGCATGCGAGTCGGCAGCAGCTGCTGGACGCAGAGTAACCCGGGGAGAGCCAGAAGATGCAGGATGGCAGTCGGGGGTCAGGGGGAGGGGGTCTCTGACCTCAGGCAGCTGGAGGGGCAGCAGAGGCCCGCATCCTGTTCCACATCGGGTTTCTTACTGCAGGACTAGATAAAAGGCTCTCACAAGTGGTGACTGAGCACACAATGATGGCAAGGTCCAACGGGGGTGGGGGTGGCAGTGACCTTGAAGGGAGCTCTCAACGTGGGGCTGGGTCAGCTCTGCCTATCCCTTGGCAGGGGTAAGGGGCAGGGGACATGGCGGGGTGCTGCCA